TCCACTTTCGGCGGCTATTTTCAGGTGCTGGAAAGAAGCCGAGGAGCAATGAGATTGTCACCAAGGAGACTGGAAAAAAACAGGGCCCAGCTCCGGGCAGCAGGGGCTGGGGGAGAGCAGAAGAAAGGCCTTTCTGCAAGCCCCAGGGCCCACGCATGGGGCTCAGCACCTGCCCTGGCCCCGAGCATCCCCCGCCCAGCATCCCCCTTAACCAGGCTCGGGGGACACAATCCAAAACCAGCAAGGGAGAGGAGACCCAACCCTTCCTTCCCTCGCTGCAGGGCTGGGCTGCTCTGTCCCCCTTGGTTAGCGATCTGCAGGAGAGACACCAGGACAAAAGGCAGACCCCAGACTCCAGCAGCTGTGCTGGAAGCTGCTCCCCCACACAGAGGGCCGCAGGAATGACCCCCAGCTCCGGGAAGGACAGGGAATGGCAGGGTGGTGGCACAAACCCTACCTGCACCGGAGCCCAGCATAGCACAGGGAGAGCTGAGCTGCCCCGTGGACCCAAATGGGTGAGGGAAACGGAGCCAGATGGAGGCCATGAGAGCAGGTGAGTGTTAAACTTTAATAGAAATCCTTGAGAAACAAAGGGAAAATAGAGAGCATAGCCCAGGAGAAGAGCACCAGCCTGCAGTCCCTGCACACATGCTGCAGGTCACCCGGGAGAGCTGACAGCCTCGAGAGGATGCTCCCTCCCTGGCAGCCCTACTGTCCCCACGCCAAACCAGAGCCACGCTGGCACCCGTGGTCTCTCTCAAGCAGTGATGTGCATGCCCAAGGTTTCCCCCAGGCCCCGAGGCAGAGGGCAGGATGTTGGCAGAGGTGTTCAGAAAGGATGAAATGGGTCAGCTGATAGCCCCAAGCCCTGCTTCTTCCAGAGGAGCAGGGTGGTGGCTGGGGACTTTTCTCCACGGGCTGGGCTGCAGGAGGAGACTCGGCTCCCAGTGGCTTAGGACAAGTGCACAGAGATCCAGGCGAGCAAGGGCTCAGCCCGTGCTGGTTGGGGAGGGGAAGGCCAGGCTGACTCCAAGCACAGCCAGCTCCCACACAGCAAAGAAAACACCACCGTTACATCAGGCTTTAAGAGCAGCCTAGGACAAAGGCCAGACAAACCCCACTTCCTCAGGCTTTGCCATTTGTTTTAAAAATGGAAGTCACACATCTCTCTCCCCTTTGCCCAGTAAAAGATCCCTCTCTAAAAACAACCCCGCAAGCAAGCACGCAGCGCAAGGGGCTCCCGCAGTCCTTGCTCTCCGGAGCCAGCTCCTGTTTCTTCCTTTGAGGTAGGTTGAAGTGTCCCCAGGGAGGGACAGCGGCTGCCTGGTCACATCACCAGGGTGGTGTCCGAGAAGCAGCCAGCAGGTTTCTGGTTGGCTCCACCAGTGCACTTGTTGAGAGGTAAGCTCTGGGTAGAGCTGGGCTCCAGGCATCTTGTGAGGTCCTCACCAGCTGAAGGGAGGAGTGTGCTGTAGGAGAAGAGATCCCATGCTGGTTAGGGACAGCAAGAAAGGATCAAAAGGGCCATGGTGCAACACTCATCTGCAGTATCATCATACACAGGCTGAGACGAGGCTGCCAGGCTCACCTACTCAATCTCCCATCCCAGGCAGCACCACTCACCCCAACAGACATCCAAACCAGTGACGGGACTTTAGGGTCACAGCTTGACCTCCCTGGCTGCATGTAAACCCAGCTCTGTCCTGGCCTGGGCACAGGAGCAGGGATGCCCTTTTCCTTAACACCAGAGGCCAGAGGCGTGCCTGCCCTCCACTTCAGCTCACCCAAATGAACTCCAGTCCTCCACCTCTCTGCAGGAAGCTGTCAGGGCCAGCAGCACTCATTTTGCAGCCCAGCTTTGCTCAGGGAAGCTGGCAGAGCGCAGCAGTCCCGGAAGCCTCGCTGCTCCCCCCAGCCCCGCACTGGGGCTGAGAGCCTCTGCCTACTGCTGGCACATCAGAGCCCACAGAAGTAGTGTGGGTCCCTGAGGGGAACATCTTATCAGTGTGTCCTGACCATGACAACCCCAGACATCACCCAGTCCAGCTGTTCTTGACATTGCTCCCATCTGAGCTGGGTGTACAGCGCCAAGGAGACATGCCCAGTCGCACAGACATCATGTCAGCCCAACCAGTTGGCTCTCCAGAGAGCAGAGGCTGGCTTCAGACCTTGCAAGCCAACCTGTTCCTCTCCCCTTAAACAAAGCTACTTTCCCTGCTGCCAGTTCCCTCTCAGGACACCAGCCCTAAAGCCAAGCTATGAACATCATGCACGTCACCGCCAGTGCAAACTCACCCCAGTCTGCCCAGTTCCAGTTTGCTGAAGCCATTTGGTTGAACGCTGCTCTTCTGGAGGAAGAAAGACTTTGGCAATGACCACTGCAGGAGGAGAGAAAGACAACCAAATGGCTATTTAAGTCGTGGCAAAAATCCCTCAAACCTGCAGTGCTCTGCCGTAGGCTGCCCTAGTGCGCTTCAGCTTAAACTGCCTCACACTGCTGTGCATCGTCATTGCCACCAGACTGTTCCCAGAATAGCAAACAGAGCAGTCTTTGCTCTCTGCTTAATGAATCCCTCTGCTGTAAGTGGGAACAGAGCATCTTGAGGTTAAAAGAGTGGGTTTCTTTCACTGGATCAGCCTGCTGTAAGGCACAGGAGCGACAGATGGAGATGGCTCCCTCGTGGAGCGGAATAAAGGGCAGGCCAGGTGCCAAATAAGTAAGGCTGTGCCCAGTGCACCCAAGGATATTCAGATGCAAAATACTTGCAGATCTGGTATATGGGGTGGATTTCATGGTGGTGGGAGCTAGAGAAGTGTGGGTTTTTCCAGACTCCTGAAGGCCTTGGCAGAGAGGGAAGAAGAGGATAAACAGGTAGGGCAGGAGCCACAGGAAGCAGAACAAGCAGGCTCTCTGCTCAACTCTGCCCAGGCAAACAACCACCTCTCCCTAGCTTACCCACAGCCATACGCACCGTCTGGGCCAAATCCGTCCCTGCCCCAGTGTGGTACCCTTTGACACACCAGTTCTTCAGTAGCTCCAGACCTGGGAAGTGACAGAAAAGACAAGAATCGAGAATGAATGACCAAGTTTGCAGAGAGTTAAGTTTTCCCAGCTTTGGGCATGCAAACATGCTGCATGGAGTGAACTGACCGTGCAGTACATGTGATGCAACAACTACTTGAACACGTGCCTGAGCCCAGCAAACACGGGGTAAAACAAGGGCCTTCACCCCTTGTATGAGTAAACACCAGCGAGCGGCAGCACGTGGGCTGCTGCAGTGCCTGCCTTCCTCCCAGGGAGCCAGACGCACTGTGCAGCAGGCTCAGCTAAGCAGGAAAACTGGGGCAACACAGGATTTGCCAAATTAGACCAGACTGGCTGTCCCCCTGAGCCCAGTGCCTGCCAATGGCAGCACCTGATTTGGGCTGCACCGGTGAAAGTTCCTACGGTGCAAATGTAGAGCAGCTTTGCTGTCACCGGCCCCTTTCCCAGAGGACGGCAGCTCAGACAACCTCCTCTTTGCACAGCACCGATCAGCTGCGGTATCCCAGCACACCACCTCCTCCCTGCACGGAGCCATCCAGAGCTCCATGTGGGCTGAGACCTACTCTCCATCCCTGACAGAGGGTGAGGCTGGCACGGACCGAGCTCACTGGTGGTGTGACTGCAAGGGACTGTTCCTCCAGTCGCACAGAAGACTCCAGAGCACAGGGAGGTCACCTTGAAGCACAGCCATGTGTCTGACTGCCCTGAACAGGCTCCATTTCCTCCAAGGCCTCCTGCTAGCTGTCCCCACTACAGCCAAGCTCCCTGCTCTCTGCTAACCCAGAAATACTGAGAAATCCAGGAGTTCTCCCTTCCCATTTTCTCTTTTAAGAGCCTTAGAGCCACAGCACAAGCTAAGGTGCCTTGAGATTTAAGAACCCGCAGAGCAATGGCCAGGAACTTGATGCTGTCCAGCTGGGGTTTCTTTAGTTTGCTATACAACATCAGCCCCGGCTATAGGAGGAATCCTTGCTGCCCAAACTCTGCTCCTCAGTGACCTTTCAGCAAGCCCCAGGACCTTCAAAAAAACCCCTAGGTGTTGGGGGCTGAGGGGAGCAGGGCAGCTCAGCAGCTCTGCCCCCGGCTCTGTGCACCATCCCGGGCTTTGCACCTTGCTAGCCAGGGAGAGAGGAGGGCTGCGTGGAACACACGTGAATGGGAAGGGACCTGGGGAAGCTGGGTTTTGCTCAAAGGTGAAGAGCAACAAGGGGGTAGACCAAATCTGCTCGTTGGGCTGCTTCGGGGAAGGTGGAGCACTGAACCAGGACCCTGGCCTGAGCGGCAAGGTTCAGGGCAGCACTTCAGTGCAGACGATGACAGAATCCTTCTTCCAGCTGACAGGAGAGCATCCAGCAAAGGTATTAGCAGGGCAAAGGATGACACATGCTGACAGCGCAGCTGGAGAGGGCTATAAGGTTACTGTCTTTCTGTGAAAGACTGTTACCAACTCCTTTCATATTTGCTTTAACACCAATGAAACGTGACAAAAGCACTTTTTTTTCCCCTCTGTACAATAGCCAAGCTAGGAGCACACATACAGTCACCTCAGTGGAGGGCTGGCTCCTCCAGAAGCCTCTCCAGCTAGACCAGATGCTGGATGGAAAGCCCTGAGCCATGGCCTCTTTCTTTTTATGTTCCCTAACCCCTCGCACTAGGCTTCTGCAGGTTCTCTCTCCTAAACAGCCTCTCCCACTGCCCTGACGGAGACAGCCCTGGGTGAGAAGGAATTGGTCTGGCCCAGCTATAGCTCATTAAAGGACATTTTCTGTTAAAATACAGAGCTGTGTCCTGGAAAGGTGGAAATGATAGCTAGATTTCTAGTGTTTAGGAAAAATCCCCCTTTATGCATGCTGATAGTTTTTCATCAATTAGAAAGCAGCAGGAGACCTGGGAATAGGCCAAAGCTTCACTTCACAGAGCGCCTGTAAGGAGCAAACCCCAGTGACTCCAGCTGTTTCTCCCTCAAAAGAGGGCAGGGGAATGCAATAGGAGACCAGAGCTACAGGTTGAAGGCAGAATCCTAGCCTGCTTCAGCCCCAGGGCACCTAAAATTGCTGGTGCTGTGTTTCCCAGAGCAGTCAGCACCTGTGATCAACTCAGAATAAGCTTTTCCTGATATCTGAAGCAGCCTAGGAGGGGAACAGATTTCCTACGGCTAGTGTGGACGCAGGCAGCTCCCTCTCAACACACATAGTTCGGAAGTCTCCCACGACTGCCAGTAGGCAGCCTGCCTGGCTCAGGTGGCTGTGCTGGGCTCTCGGAAGGCAGTTACCTTTGTGTTTATTCAAGTAGTATTTGAGCTCCCATTGGGTCACCAGGATGTTGAAGTAACGAGGTTGCTCAAAGAAGCGCAGGTACCGCATGGAGATGTGGGTGGGGAATACTCGCTCAAACTGCCCACGCCGGGAATACTCATCCTCTGTCTCCACCAGGATGCGAACATCATCTGGGGTCAGGATGTCCAAGACAGAAGAATAAAAATCCTGCAGACAAGAGTAACCCAAGGTCAGGAAGAAGTGATCTACATTTTGTTGGTCCCCCTTCCCACCACCTCCCTACTCCTCAAACCTATTCAGGCAGAGGTCTCCATGTGTCAGAGATTTCTGGGACACGGGCCACGTAGAAAACAAAGAAATTTAGGCTTAGTGGTGTCATCAACACCCTGCAGAGCTGAGGAAATCCCCAATTCTGCAGCCCAACCTCTCTTACAGACACTGCCAGGTGGCACACCAGGCAAGTGTCCCTGCTAACCTGCACAGGGTCAGCAAGCAAAGGCTCTCTCCGCTGAGAACTGTGCGGAGACACAAAGAGGAAGAGGCAGTGCTCAGACCCTATTTGGGGACTGGTGGGTAATGTACTCCTCAGCATATGCCTATTTTCATGTAAAAATGAGCCAGTGCAGCAGTGGCTTAAGCAAATGCAATTTATTTCTGACCAGCTGTCTTGTTACCCACTGCAGCCCAAGTGCTCCCCATCATCTGGCTGCCTCCACAGAGGGGCACAATCTGGAGAGGGACAAGGAATAGACATGGGGGACTGGTTGGGATGGTGGCTTGGCAGGATGGCGCAAGTATCAGAGGAGATTGTGTCGTACCTGGTCAGGTATCTTCTGTGTCAAGTAATAGGCCTTCTTCATCTTCTCCGCTATGAAATGCTCAGATGCTGGCTTGGGCTTCTCCTTCAATGCACTGCCCAAACTGAGGACACAAGAAGAAACAGTAGAGCATTTAAGTGGAGAAGACAAAGTCCTGTCATAGCAGAGCTGCTCCCAGCAACTTCTGAGAGAGCAGTGACACCCTCAGGAAGATGCCGTGGAGGACAGAATGCTTTGTCCAAGGATTTCACTAGTTCCAAGATCAGCGATGCACCCACAGCCTTGTGCATCAGCCACAGCCTTGTGCATCAGCACAGGACCCAGGAAGGATGTGGGCAGGGGAACTGGGAAGGCCCTGCCAGCTCCTTGCTAAGGCATTTCAGCGTTCCTGCATCCAAAAGGTGAACCATCACCTCCCACCCACATAGGATGCAAGAGGGCCAAAGACACACCGTGACCCAAGTCACAGCACTTGAAGCCTTGTGGGATTTCACGTTTACATCCCACTTGGAATGCTGCTTCCTAACTGTAACAACAGGGCTGGGGGTATGAGTACTCGGCACTGGTACTGTGCAAGCAAGGAGAGAACTCTTAGATCAAAAACTTCTCCTACAACATCCAAGAACTCTCAAGACTCGAATTCAGCTCCAGCTCCGCGTGCCATGGGAAACGCTGGCCTTTTGTATGATCTGACCAGCAACCATCTAAACTATCCTAAGCACCCAGCTGAACCATTTGGAGATGCCAGAGTCTGGGAGATACTTGTCCGACACCTTTTAACACTTATATCAACACAGCTAACTTGTTCTGCTGCTGCAAAAATAATTAGTTGTGTGCAGATCCAAACAGGAAGAGCAGAGCCTTGAAGCCGTGCTGCATAGTGCTTGGGGAACATACAGATCTACTGGAATTATGCCCATATACAAAAAACCCCTGCGTATCCTTCCCAAGGCAGGAGATACGGTTAAGCAAGCTTGCCCCTGGATGCAGGAACTCTGGTAATGCATCATCTGAACCATGTTAAGGATCCGCTTAATCCCCTGCAGGTCCCTCCGAGGACACCTGCCCTTCAGCACCTCTGTCGCAAGCCGCAAACGAGCGAGTGATCAAAGTGCCGCAGATGAGCTGGCGAGAACTCCCCAGCTGGAACGGGCCTGTGCTCCAAGCTTCTCCCTTCGCTGAAGGCACAGGGCAGGCAGAGGGCAAGAGTCCCATCTTTTGGCATGCCCATACATCACTGCGTGCTGGTGCTCATCCCAGCAAGCTGCTCCTTCAGTGACACATGGCCAGCAGCCGCTCTGCTGCAGGGAACAGGACTGGTTTCCCCACCACCATCAGGTTTGAAACCAGTATAAGCCCAAGCTGTGGTGAAACACAGAAGGAGCAGGGGCCTGGGTGGACACATGCCCAGGAATTAGCCTTATGCAGGAAACATTCATGTTAGCTGCAAGGTAAGACTGTGCACACCCCTACCCATAGGTCTACAGCCTCTGACACCTGCAGCACTGCCTAAGGAACAGCTCACTCCACTTCTGCAAAATAACAGGTGCTCCTCTTGCTCAAGGCAGCAGCACGTCAGCCCTGAGGTAGAAGGTAAGCGGATACAACCCCAACACAGCCAGCCAGCCTTCCAAGCAAACGGAGAGGCAGTGTGGCTCAGCATCGCGTTAGTTCTGGCAGAGGGAAGGAGGAGAGAGCACGACTCAACTAACTGCAGAGCAAGCACAAATTACACTGGCCTCACTTCCAACTATGGACCTGCAGAGAGGGCATAAATCCTTCTGCCTTGAAGAGACCGCAGGAGCCAGATACCCAGGCAATGATGCAAGTGCCTCAGACCCACAGCTGAAGGACCAGCAAGAACAGGCTCTCAACAGCACAGAAACCAGTGTTTGCTGGGCTACAAGCAGCCCCCAGATGAAATCCCCCAAGGAAAAAAGCCTGTCTTGCCCTGCTGCTCTGACAGAGAAGGGGGCTGACCTGCAGCTAGAGCCACTTCTCATCTGCGGCCTTGAGACCATGTTGTCCGTGCTGGGCAGAACAAAGCCGGCAAGGTTGAGGAGGTCCCGGATCATCTGGCCCTTGATGCTCACGTCCAGCGGGGAATTGGAGTGGAGGCTGCAGGGAGGAAGCATCACAGCAGTCTGAGTGGAGTGCCAAGACCCACAGCCCCGAGATCACTCCCTGGGTTAATACCGACCGGGATACAAAACCCAGCCTGTCCCTCATGTCATCACAGCCAGCCATGAGACATTGAGAGGAAAACCCTGACAACAGCTCTTTGAATGGGGGCTCCCCACCAGAAACGGTTCATTTCTCCACACCTCTTCCCAAATTTGCTGGAAACCTGCAAATCCATCCCCAGAGCCCTGTATGGGACTCTTGCAGGGAGGAGAGGCCAAGCTCAGGCACACCACAGCTCCCGGCCCTGCCTGTGCAGCCGACACCGTGCAGCCAGGTGCTGTCAGCAAATGAGGAACAGCGCATGAGGCAGTGGAGACGCTGATCGCTTCTGCCCACGCAAAAAAGAAATCTGTGCCATCACCCGTTCCCTACATGACACATCCCTCCCTGGCCTTCCTTTTTTAATGTACTCTTCCCTGGCTCTAGCTGGAGCATGCCCAGGAAAGCTTTCTGAGCTGCAGATGGATGTTGCTTTCACAGACAGGAAGGACACTGATTCCTCCAATCTGGAGAGGGAGGCTTCAAAGCCCACAGTCTTTCAGCACAGGGTACAGGGAACATCACAAGCCAAATTCACTTTGTGGTAAAAGAAAGGCCATTATCTGCTCTGCTGCAGCTCAGAATCTGCTTTACCTTGGGGAAATGTTGACCTCTAAGATCCAGGGCTTGAGGTTTTCATCCAGCATGATATCAAACCCAAACAGCTCATGGCAACAGTACGGCCGCCGCACGTACATCTTCATCAGGCTGTTCACGTAGGGGTCAGATCTGGAAGGAAAAAATGCTTATTTCCAACAGTCAGACAGCAGAGCTCTGGCTGTTCACAGCACATGCAGCCAGTTCTAAGAGTGTACACAGCCACATGCTGCAGGAACGGGTGGGCTGAGAGACAGATGCAGGCCTGTGAGCTGCTGCTGCGCTGCGTATGGATCCAGCATTGCATCCCAAGCACCACTGCTCTGTCAGGCAGAATCCACCTCTGAACACAAGATCCATCCTGCACCAGGGGACCTTTCTTCTCAGCCACCCTGGCCAGGCAGGGGAGCAGGTGGAAAGCTGGGCAGAGCATCGGGTACACCAAACCCTCCTGGCCTCCCCCCTGCATTGCAGGCAGACCCAGGAAACATTTACCATTGCAGCTACTGCAGCATGAGCATAAGTAACAGGATGAAAGGAAGGATCCAGAAGGAAATACTGAAGCCAACAGTGGTGGTAGCATTTCGATTAAGAGCAAAAGCACTGGGCTGAGAGGGGACTGGAGAGCCAGAGGGACCAGAGTGCACCTCACAGCCAGGCACAGAGCAAGGGGTGCCAGGACTCACGCAATGATGGTTTTGATAACGATGTCCTTAATCTTCTCCCAGATGGCCTCGCTATTAACTCCCTTCTGCGTCAGGTAACTCCAGAGTGCTTTGAGTGCCCTGGGAGAGAGAAAGCAAAGGAGGTAGTTCTGTAGCCCCTTGCTGCCCAGCCCTGCCAGGGGAGTGGAAGTAGCAGAGGGAAGCCTTGACAAAGCTCTTCCCTGGCACGGCCATCCTCCTGCCATACCCAAACCCCTCAGCTCCTGGTTGCTGCCCTCCCCAGCCTGGTGCCTGGTCTTGTAGGCCCAAGCCACTAGGAACATAAATCTGTCATAGACTTGTCCCAGCACTGGAGTAATAGGTCCCAAATTAGCACATGAGCAAGGTATGTCGGGCCCAGATCTTCTCATCCCTCCCCCTCCGTGTCCTCAGCAAACCTCCCCTTCCTGCAGGCCTTCCCCCGCAGCACTGCATAGCAGCTCAGCAGGCATCCAGCACGAACCCC